ATCTCCTTTGATTAACTTAGTCCAAGCTCTCCAGGATTGGGTATAAAAAAGCCTGTGTGTACCCAGTCAGGTTTCACCCACCCCTCACCACCACCCCTGCCCCCCCGACCTGGTCGTCTTAGATGCACTGTGCTATGTGGCGATTCTCCCCAGCCTTAGAAGATTGATTCTCCCTCTTTTGGTCTTGCTTGGTGTTATACTTAGAACCAACTATGGCCCATCCGCCTGTCTCTGAATTCCAGTGTTAGCCTTAAACTCAAGAAATCACTCCTAACAGATCTCTCTCTAGTGTTGCACAAGAACTAAAACCTATTAGTCCGGGAGAGTTCAAAGGTCCTTGTTAAAATTATGCACGCTCTGGAGCACTGGGTGTTAAAATGCAAATAATGAATCATGGAACCCTACATCAGAAACTAATGATGTACTATATGGTGACTAACGTGATAAAATAAAATTATGCATGCTAAATTGAAGTAATGGATTCTGAGCTAAAAATCATAGTTTTCCATTTTGTCAAGATGATTTAGGGTGAAAATTTTCAGGATTAACTTCCCATTATTGTGTATTATGGGGATAAACTGCCCCAGTTTTTCATATTAACACATATTTACATTATGAGTAAAGTACTCATTCCTTCACTCCAAAAGTATTTGAGTGCCCAGCACTATGCTAGATCCTGGGAATACAGCGAACAAATCCCAAGTAAACACAATACAGCAGCCACAATCCCAAGATGTCATAGTAACATCTACATTGTGATACCTATCTCTCCAAAATAACCTAGCAGATTTTGAATATTTAATGGCAAAACAAACTGGGTAGTATGGTGGAACCCATGGGAAAACTAAACATCAGAGGATTTATCATTTAAATCTTCCTACACATTATAAACATGTATTAATTATAAGCAACACTGGATGTAGAATTATTTAAAAGAGCTTATGTTTTGCTTTTAAAACTGCTATTATTATGCATATACGAATCGCATAAAGGGTACTAATAGCTTGAAAAGAACTGCTTGTTAAGAGTAACAGTAATAAGATTCCAGACAGCAAAATTTTCAGGCTAAGAATGAAAAAACACAGCACAATGACTTCAAAAGTAATATATTGCACTATATATATATATATATATATATATATATATAGTCTCAAAGCTATTACTCTTCCTAGCACGTAAAAGATAAAATTTCTTTTCCAAACTTAATTGGTGGTTTCTGTATAAGGAATATGCAATACATTAATTTTCTTACCAAAATAGAGCCCAATATATGAACAAACATTTAGGGGGGAAAGGTTTGTCCTTGATTTTAACATGCACCTGTATGTAGAAACACATACATACTCACAGGAGTGACAGACACTGACAAAAGGTTAACATTTAGCAAAGGCAAAAAAGGAAACAAACAAAAACGCTGCTCGGCCTTTTTTTTCTGCTTGACAGAGAATGGAGAAAGTTAGCAAAGTAACAGAAAGGGACACAAAAACCACACTTCAAACAAACCAACTGCTTGTCAGTATTAGGACTTGAGTTGACCAACAGGTTTAATCCACTTCCTCAAAGGCCATGCTGTCAAGGTGAAGGAGGAACTTCTGCTATGGCAGGAAGCTGGCTGTCATTCTGAGAAGTGGGCTCCTCCTCCTCCACCACACTGGTCACTTTGTCGGACTCTCTCGCAGGAGGAAGTTCGTTGTTTGTCCCCTCTTCGCTAGGGAGGTTACCAGACAATTCATTCGACATGAGAACTTGCAAAGATTCCGTTCCATCTTCAACATCCACCTGAATGCCCAAAGCTTTAAGAATGTCGCATTTGCACATAGGACATGTCCCATGGGCCAGAATCCAGGGGTCGATGCAATTCTTGTGGAAGAAGTGTTTACAAGTGAGAATACGAACTGTATCGTTAGGCTTATAGAGTTCGAAGCAAACTACGCAGCTATCTCCGTTGGGACTGATTTCCGCGTCCCCCTCCTTCAGCACCCGAAGCTGGAGCTGGCCAAAGGCTTTCTTGAGATCAGTCGTTAACCGCTGCCATCTCCGGTTCTGAATCCTTGCTACCCAAAGTCTCCAAATATGATAAAAGATGAAATATGCTAAAGTAGCAGTTGTGACAATCACAAAAGACACAAAATAGTGATTCATCCAGATGATGTGTTTTCTCCCCACCTCAACTATAGCTGTGACGTGAACTCCCTTCTGAATTAAGTGTAAAATCTCCATGCCCTTCAGGTTACCGATCATCACCACAACGATGTCTTCAAATGCTTGATGAGACATGGGAAAAACCTGATTCCCAGTTCCGGGAAAGTTGTAGATGATCACGCCACTGGCTCCCTTCTCAACGGCTACCTTAACTTTCTGTGTGAAGGTACAACCTCCCCGTTCAACGAGTGCGAGCCAGGTCTCGGAGTTCTTTGATCTTCTGAAACTGGTAGTGGGATTACACGCATTTTGAGTTTTCCCCTCTGGTGGCACAATAATTCCTGCCACTCTCTTCAAAGTGGAGCTTCTTCCAAAGACTCCAGTTTCCCCCAACTCCGACAACATGCGATTCCCAACGTGAAAGGATATGTTCATGTAAGCAGTCCAAACAGCACTAGCTCTGCAACAGTTCTGACAAAGAAGCCAAAGAAAACCGAGTTTCACAAGCCAGGAAGATGCAGGGTTGTTTCCGTGAGTGCCAAGCCTGAGCAGATTCATCTCTCTCCTTACCTAGAGACTGAAGTGCCAACCCAACAGAAAGATGTGCCTTCCACATCTGTTGACAATCAATGGAGAATAACAACATGAGAAAAATCTTCTGGGTGAAAACAAGTTTCACAGTCTTCCAGCATGTTTTTTGTCAGAAATTCTTAAAGATGTCTTAGGAGGTTCAGATGTTTTATTAGAGAGAGAGAGAGAAACACTTTAGATTGAAAAAAAAAAATCGCAGTCTCACTAATGTAACTCCAGATGCTGTTTACAGTTGGGTAATGCGATTATGACATAAAAGGCAACACAGCCAATTAGAGAAGAGCTTTGAGCCTGCTAGAAAAGTACTGGCCTGAATGATTCAAATACTGTTATGGGTGATTTCTAGGTTGTAAGATCAACTCAATCCTTGAGCTACACGTTAACAGGTAGCACTTTCAACAGAAAAATATAAAATTCATACAACACGTGCACATACAAAACTTGAAAGCATATGCAAGAATGCCATGGGATTGCCATTTTTCTTGACAATACATCAAGGAAACATGTAATAAAATGGCAAGTTTTAAATAATTAGAAATTCGTACTAGGAATAATTATGTGGTAAAAGCAGTGGACTCTAATACCACTTTTGACTCACATTTGGTCACCATGCCAGTGAGCCTATAAACCATTACACTAAATTTATTTAATGAATTGCTTGCTCAGGTATGTTGGTTCACTTCGGTTTTGATTCTGATTTTTAAAAGGAGGATTTTGATTTCCAAATCCTGTTTGATTACTTCAGCTCCCCTTCTTCACTCTTACACTGATTCTCCATAGGGATGACAGCAGTAAAGAACACTAATCTCTTTTCTCCGCAGATCTTGGCATCTGCTACTGATCTAACAGTATTCTGAAGGAAGAAAGGAAGAATAGAAGCAAAAACTGGTATGTAGCAGTCTAGTTTAGCATAATTCATTTTAAGCAAAAACGCAGCTATTGATTTTAAAAAGAAAAACGTCAAGGTCCCCATTTAGAGTTAACCACCAACAGCAGTGTTAAAGGTCCTAGATGCTCAGAACAAAACCTTTGTCAAAATCAACATCCCTGGTAGACCCAACCTCTACACACACACCCATTGTCAGCTCTGCCTTTATTTTTGCTACACTTATATCAATGGCACAAAATGACTCGAGACCAAAACAACCTGTGAACTAATGAACGTGGCCAAGCCCTGGTGCTGTCACACACTTTCTTGAGGGTTATCTCAGTGGTTCTTATACACTAGCTAGAAAACCAAGAACTTTGACCTTGAACACAAAGGTCTGACCTTTATACACAGGACACTAAGAGACCATTTTGGTTGGGTCTTAGCAGGACTAAGGGAGCTAGTTCTTTTTATGAAATGTGAATCAAAATAATTTGAGGCAGGAAAGGAGGAGGAAAAGGCCCTATAGACCTAACCAAAATAGAATAAAAAGAAAATATTATTGTGTGAACTATAGCTCACCACGGTCCATTTTCTTTTCCAAAGGCCACTAATTTGATTTTATTTCCATACAACCCATTCTTCCAAGTGTGTAGTACATAGTTTGTAGACTCAAAGTGCCATCCAAGTTGGATATCAATAGTTTAGCATTTCACCCAAAAGTATTTGTCAAAATCAGAACTCAAATCTTTCAGCCGCTTATTGTTACACATAAGTGTTTGCGTTTATCTACTCAAAAAGAGAAGCAAAATATGGCAAAATACAGAACTTGAAATGCTAATTAAAATTTTAGTTCCACTCTAGATCTATATCAAAATGGTCAGAGACACACTCACCATACACCACCAGTATTTTAAGAAAACAATTATTTACTAACGTCACTTCTAGAAAGGAAATCTGCTACCACAGCTAATTTACTATACTAGGATTTAAAGGGCTGTGGCAAACGAAAGTGATTTTTTTGGTGTGATCCTGCCCTAAATGAGGCTTATAATGATTTAAAATATTTTAGTTATATAACCAGAGGTGTTATCATCTAAAATAATTACTTAGAACACATTACTCAGTACCTTTTGAAAACCATTTCCTGATATTAACCATGGAGAATTAAATCAAGATCTAACTCTATAATGAAAGTTATTTAACAGCAATATTAGTTATCAAAAATATGGAAATAAAATATAAAAAAGAAACTTCCAAGTATCACGACTCACTGTGGCCTCAAAGTCACAACCATTTTAGCTTGCAGACTAACTTGCTTTTAACATATACTAATATTCTTACTTGGATAAGGGCAAAAAAGTAGCAACCTAATGAAAAAACAAGAAGTTCAAATAGCTGGGCATGATATGGAGTTTTATTTTTAAAACACACAAATGTCATCCTCTTTAGTACTTAGGTAGAGAAGATGAAGTTGTTTTTTTTCCTCTACATAAAGTGCTAAAAGAGAATTCATTTCATTTTAATCTTTGGAAAGACTTGGTTACATCTTCGGAAGCTTCTCCAGTTTTAAGTTTTCAGAATATCACACTTGCACATGGGGCATGTCCTATGGGCTAAAAGCCAGGGGTCAATGCATGCCTTATGGAAAAAATGTTTGCAAGTTAAAATACGTACTACATCTTGGGGTTTGTAAATGTCAAAGCAAACAACACAACTGTCTTCATCTGGATCTAGTTCCTTATCCCCTTCCTTGAGCACGCGCAGTTGAAGCTGACCAATAGCTTTCTTCACATCTGCTTTTATCTGTCTTCGCCTCCTGGTGGAAGAATTGGGCACCCTAGGTCTCCACGCACAGTACAAGAAAAGGTATGCAACTGTGGCAGCCAGGAAGGTGAACAGAGACATGATATAATGGCTCAGCCATGGCATGTGCATTCTCCCCACTTCGATGATGATCGTCACATAGACTCCCTTCTGAATCAAGTGCAAAAGTTCCATGCCTTTCAAGTTGCCTATCATCACGGCAACTATGTTTTCTGTTCCCTGGTGAGACATGGGAAACACTTTGTTGCCCGTACCTGGATAGTTATAGATGATCACCCCATTTGCTCCCTTCTCTGCTGCCACATTGATCTTATGTGTAAAAGTACAGCCTCCCCGTTCGATGAGGGCCAACCAAGAGTCTGCCTGTTCAGGCCTGCTGAAGTTGGTCATAGGATTACAAGCATTCTGATTCCATCCTTCAGGAAGTACCACCGCACCAGACACCCTTTCCAAAGGAGAATGATTTCCGAAAACGCCACTCTCTCCTAATTCGGATATAATCCGATTTCCCACCTGGAAGGTTATATTCAGGTGGGCCGTCCAAATGGCTTTTCCTTTAGAGGCAGGAAGGCTAAGTAGTAGAAAGACGCTAAGCCTCAACAGTTGGGATGAAACAGAACAATGAGTTGAAGGAGTAATTCGAAGTAGGCTCATTCCTCCATCTGCGTAGTAACTGACAAACGAAAACGAAAAGTCAATTGTAAAACAAAGAAGCTAACTCCAATGGTTGGCAGTAGATATCAAAGCACATCAATGGAAAAAGGTCTGCGTTGATCAAAGGTATGCTGCTCCTTCCAGCATTTTTATTTTTGGTACATTATGGTTCTTATAATGAACCAGAATAACAAGAGCTGTTATTACTACAATGTGATTTCAAGAAAATTATGATTTCCTAATGGGGAAATTGTGACATCAGAGGTAGTTAAGCCAATCCAGTTGCTTATATTAGAGCTTTGCATGCTCAAATCCTATTGGCCAAAAAGCTACTAAGCTAGGACTCATGGGATAGAACAATTTGAATAATCTCTAAAGCAATAAACAGGGAAATTTATTATTTTTAAGCCTGGAGTTTCTTCTCCAGTTCTGGATTAAATGAAAAGCTGCCTAAAAAACACTTTATATTCATTGTTTTTCTGTTAAGCAAAGTATAAATCATTTATGTATTAGTGTACATGGTTGGCCAGTCACGAGTTCTCATGCATGGTTCTACGCTACCCAGTATTCTAATCTATGGACAGTAGGAACAAATCATTCCCACTCTCTTCCAACATTAAATGCTTATCCCAGATTCAACATGAGGACAATAAACATGCTGTAAGACTGATACACTGCCAATATGCAAGGGGAATTCAACTTTTCACTAAAATAGTTACTAGGAACCCACTGAGTGTCAGGCAAACACTAAGCCTGGCTCATACAGTGGAGAAGCAAATGCACACACACTTATTGGCGCTCACTATCTGGTGGGGGCAGATTTAAACACAAGCAGATGTATAGTTGAAAGTTGAGACAGTATGGTTCTGAGAGGAAAACCGGAGTATTAAGAATAATATAAAAGAAGCCAGACTTTGATTAGCGGTCCAAAGCACTGCTCTGCTAAGGAAGTGGTACTCAGTCTAAGACTTGAAAGACACATCAGAATTACCCAAGAAAAGAATACTGTTTCAGAGAAAGGAAATGCCAGTTTCAAGACCCCAGCACAGCAAAGGACACAGCAAGTGGAAGGATCGGAAGCAATATGTGTTTGGCAAGATGAGAGGAGAGAGTGCGAAAGTTGAGAGAGGAAAGTAAATAGCAGTCAGCGTTCAGGGACGTAAATGTTACAACCAAGGGCTTTGGGTTAGGTCTCAAGGACAAGAGAACCATGCTGGAGGGCTCCAAGCTGGGGAGGCCACTTATAAGCATTTCAAAACATTCACTTGTTATCCAGTGCACTTTGGCTGCCCTCTGTGGGAAGTGAACTGGAGTCGGAGAGCAGAGCGCTGAGATGAGCTTAAGTAGACAGTGGCTTGGACTCCTGAAAGAGTGCAGTAGAGAAGCAGAGGCACAGACAAGTCTTTGAGTTACTGCAAAGGTTGAATTAACAGATGTGGTTACTGGAAGGGTAATAGCAGATTGAGGAAAGGATGACCACAACTGTCACCTATCACTGTATTACTTTATTGTTGCAAACCATGGCATCTTTACTGCTTTAAAGATCCTTTAATGCTGACTTGCTTCTATTTGAAGTCTTCACCTGAAGTCTGTTTCAAGGCTTCAATAAATTGGCAACACTCAAACATTTGTTATTCACTTTATAGAGGACACAGCGTATGCCCTAGGCATGCTCTAACACCCTGGGGATATAGCAACAACAACAACACTGCCACAGACACAAAGACAAAGAAACCAGAGGCATGTTGAAAGAATTTTTCATTTTGATAAAAACATTTAATTGTACTCCCCTGCCTATAATATTTAATATTCGTTTTTAAAAATGAAATTGGAAACAAACTTGGATCGTTCCTACCATTTTCTTCGAGCATCATGTTGTAAAGATAGATAAAATGTAGACTTTTCCCAGCTTCAAACCAAGTGAATCCCTGGCCCATTCTATTAACATCGACGAAGCGAAGCCTGGCTAAGACAATGGTTTACATCATCACATGGGAGGCTGTTTATACCTGTGATTATTTAACATTTGGGGGTAGGATTTTAAGAAGACATCTCTAAGTCATGGGAATAAACAGCACAGCATAAGGAATATAGTCAATGGTATTGTAACAGCATTGTGCGGTGACAGATGGGAGCTATGCTTGTGAGCAGAGCATCACGTATAAACTTGTCCAAACATGTGTCCAAATATGGGTACGCCTAAAAGTAACGTAACATGGTGTGTCAGCTACACTTGAGAAAAAACACCACTGGAATAGAATTTAAAACACTGGAATTACCTCCTTCTAAATGAGTTTATTAAAAAAAAAATCATTAAGTTGTAGAGACCTAATGCCCAGCATGGTGACTGAGGAAATAATAATAATGTACACTCAAAATTTGCTAAGAGAGTAGATCTCAAGTGTCCTTATCTCTTACACAAACGGTAACTATATGAAGAGATGGACATGTTAACTAGCTTAATTGTTCTATCAAAATGTATACATATATCAAAATATCACATTGTACACCTTAAGTATATATAATTTTTGTTATTTATGCCTCAGTAAAGCTGGTAAGAAAAAACAATTCTAATTTTTAAGGGTAAAGAGTTTAAATAGTAAATATATTTTGGCTCAAAACATCTCAAATCTCAAGGTTCTTTGTATGTTTGGGAAGGTTTGACAAATTTACTAATTCATTATATTTTTCTCACCATAAGGTGAAGTGATTAAGGCAGTGAGAGTCTTAGAACAAATGCAACCATAAGAAATAATCCTTTGCCTTCAACACAGTGGTTTCCGAATGGGGGACAACGCTCCCTTCTGCGGGACACTTGGCTATTTCTGGAGATATTTTTGACTGTCACAATACAACAGTACTATTGGCATCTATTGGTAGAGGCCAGGGACACTTTCAAACATCCCAAAATGCATATGATGTTCTGTGAATTAGCTGGTCCTAAATGTCAATACTAAGGCTGAGAAACTAATGGAACAGGCTTGGGAGGAAGGAACCATCCCAAAATTCACTTCTCCATGAAAAACCACCACATCTGAGTTCATATCAGGGAGTAAGTTTTTATAACTGACAATACATCTATCAAAAATGATGCCTTCATCCTATCACCATTTCCCATTTTCCTTGGAATAGAAACAATGGAGAACTGCACAAGCAACCTATTAGTCCATGAAACCTCATTACAAACTGCATCTCTTTTATCAGGACCAGACCCCAGAGTCTTCTATTCTGGGGCTGGGATAGTTGAATAGAAAAGAAGCAGAAGGGCATGTGGGCTGAATGACTGATGTTATTCTAATCTGTTCCTTTTAGATCATTTATTCAATCTATAGACTTTCTTTCTTTTCACCAGCAAGGTGAAAGAAGTTTTCATTCTGAACTCTGCAGGACGATTAAAGAGAACTGACTTATACTTCTATGGTCGGCTGATCCAGGGGTTCAAAACTCCCCTCTCCTTCCATCTTGTCATTCTCCTCATGTACAATGCTCTTCGTCTTACATAGGCTCACATCATGATCCCCGAAGGCAGCTCCTCTTGTTCCACATATCAACAGGCAGAATGGCAGACCCTCTAGAAGCACAGAGACTTTCCTTCTGCCACATCTCTAAAAAACTTGATGTCACTCTGGCTAGCAGTGCTTCACAAACCCACGCCTAATGGAACCCTTAGAAATCATAGTAGAAACTCAGGTTAATCATGGTTTACCTTGCTGGGGAGAACCCGTCCCCTAGCAGAGCACGTGGTAAGGGGGACTGCAAACCTCACTGGTACTCTGCCACTAAGGGAAAAAGGTATAAACTGGAATGTGAGTAGGGAAACAAAACAGCTACAGGCTCTAAATTCCTTAGTTTTACCCAAAGGAACAACACTTAAATTATCATTAACCATATCAAACATGTAATGCACACTCTATACTCTGTACTGACAGGAGCCAGAGCCTATATTATGAGGAACACAGTACGGCTCTTTTATTAAGGAGGTCATCATCTAGGCAGGAGAAAGGAGTTATACACAAATTCGGAATGTGCATATATGTATCTTAACTTCCAGGTCTCAACTAAAATTTCAAGGAAGGTTATAATTTTCATTAAGTTGTGGGTGTGTAAAGCAGGTGACCTCTCTCTATCCCTCTGCTCTTCATCAACTTCTGTTAAGAATGCTCAAACTTCCAGAAATCTCTACTCTGATGAGAGAAATAGCCAAATATACTCACATAGCATCACTCCAATAGTAACTTAAAGATACAGGGAATATTGAAAAAACATTGTTCAATTAATTATTTCACAAGTCATGGTACCCCGGGCTATGATATTAGAGATCTCCAGGAATCCACAAAACACACTGGATGTTCATTTAAGCTAGAAAACTACGTAGCTTTTCTGCAAGTAATTAAATGTAGCATAATGGGATTTGGCAGAACAGATTACTGACCCAGAGTAGTTCATGGAGAATCACCAAAAAGAAAATGAGGCTGATATTTTCTGAAAGTAGTTATCTTAAAAGATATTTAAAAATAAAACAATCTTAGCTTAATATTTTATGTATATATATACATATATATATATATATTTTTTTTAAAGATTTTACTTATTTACTTGACAGAGATCACAAGTAGGCAGAGAGGCAGACAGAGAGAGAGGAGGAACCAGGCTCTCCGCAGAGCAAAGAAGCTGATGCGGGGCTCGATCCCAGGACCCTGGGATCATGACCTGAGCAGAAGGCAGAGGCTTTAACCTACTGAGCCACCCAGGCACCCCAACATTTTATTATATTTTATTGTAAACTGTAAGTTCTCATAAACAATGTATTTTCTCAATTTCTCCCATAAGTTAATCACTACTCTTACATATTCTCAGACATATGCAAGAAAAGATTAACATACAAATGGACCTCCTCCTCTTAATATTTCTCAACCCAGAGAAGAGTTCTGAGTATGATAAAGTGAAATACAGTAAGGTTTTAAAATAACATAAGTTTCTGAATTACCTTGAAAATCACGTATTATGTACTAGGGCAGGTCCAGATGTATGAAAAAAAAACAAAACTTACTCAGGCTCTTCATAATTCTTTATATTAACCAACATAATGACTTTCAGTATCATTAAAGCTCTGGTAATTAAGAATATTAGAAAAAACAAACAGCCAAAGCACACACATTTTAAATCACAACATCACTAACCATGATTTCTTCACTAATGTGAGCCAGGATTACTATTC